TGTTGACAATAATTATTTTTTTTTTAAATTATAGTTGTTTGCTTTATCAAATTCTTATTAGGTAGTTAGTATACTTTTCAAGTTGAGCTTTTTACTTTGTAGATTTCGTTTGTTAAATTAAATATCCTGTTTCGATGCACTTGAATTAGTAAATACTAAATTCTTGTTAACAATCAAGAATTATCATCATCCACTTCGTCAGGAGTTAGAATTTGCAACATAAATTGCCTTTTACACATCTCAAATACTTTAAAATTTGTATAATTAAATATAGTTCATGCTATATAATTATATAGTTCACGGTTTATATAATAGTTTACAATCATTTATTATAGATTTCTTAAAAACTATAATTCATGTACAATTTATTTCGAAGTAGCTCATTCTTTCATCAGTACTTTCATGTTCTCATAACACAAATGCCATCCCATTCAAGTAAAGTAATGTAATTTAACGTGTATTAAATACCCCAAATTTCATTGAAATGACTGAAGCATTATGTGATTATCCTATATTAACAACTTTTATACCCAAATCGTATACTTCTTATTCATAAATATGTGTATCTGTGAACCATTACGTAACGACCCTTCTTTAATAATCCGCGTTAATAAGTATAAATTCCTGAAATCAAGATAAAATACATATATTACGTCGATATAAAAAAAAATTTACCAGTTACATTATTAAATACTTAAATTAAAAAAAAAATTTTCAGGAGTTTTTTGCTTTTTGACGACATTATAAATCACCGATCACTGACAATTGTCATGATTTATTCCTTTATGCTTTCAAGTTTACTTTATATATGAATCAGATCTCATTATTGAGAAATTTATATTCAACTAATTATTTATATCTCAGTGTAAATCATTTGTAAAAAATATGCCTTAACTGATTTTTTCTTTTTCATTCATTATTCATTCTTCTTTTTTTTTTGTTTATTTTTTATTTTTTTTTAACTTTTAAGAAAATGTTTGCATGCAAATAATATTTATTTGTATTTCAAATGACATAATATCATGTCTGACTAAAGAAAATGAATCGTTTCTAATGCTATCATTGATAGTATTTAATTATTAATGATTGTATACATTATATAATATAAGTTTTAAATAAATCAACTATTTATTTTAATGTTATTTGTGATCATATATATATATATATATATATATATATATATATATATATATATACATATATATATACATATATATGATCATAAATCACACTAATTATTTTTACAATTTTTAAACAAATTTTAATCGTATTTTAATTTAGAATTGTATATGAACACACAATTTGGAATTTCAAGTTGAATTTGATTTCATATTTAAAAACTGTTGAAATTAGTTATATTTAATGAAACGTTGTGTCAACAAATTTAAGTTTTTAAAATTCTTAAAATTTTGTTTATTTTAAAATTTTTTTAATCTAATACGAGATACAAGTTCCGTGAAATATAATACATCCATAGACATTCTATTTCTCGTATTAAATTTCTATATATATATATATATTTCATAATCCTGTTTTTGTTTTCATCCATTTTTCAGATATATTTTAATGATCTATATCATTTAAATTTATAATTAGAATTAACAATGTATACAAAACTTATTTGATCGATTGAGTTATTTGCTCAAAAGCTAATAAGAGTAAATATGTAAATCACTGCATGTTAGGCATGATTTAATTATACAAATGAAAATCTGCTCAAATGAGTTTTCATTATTGAAAGTTCTCTTAAAACTGCCTAAGCGCAAGCCTATTATTGATATTCATCTTTAAATATTTGTTTAAAAATAAGAAGAAAAAAAGGCTGAATAAGAGAACCTTCAAAAAATGAATTGTTACCTAGTATAACTAATTTATTTAAGACGTGACTGACTACAAACTATTACCATTATCATTCTGTATCAAAGTTAGAATTATGTATCTCTTTTATAAAACATAATTATAATGAGTAATCTTTCAGTACCTCGCATCTTCCAAACAGCAAAAGACCTCGGAATGGCTCGAAGAGCAGGTCACATATTTCCATTTTATTCAAATTTTTAACATTGTGTTAGAAATAATAAATCATTTAAAAGAATTGTATACTGCCTGCTTTCTCAATAATACATAGGTACATTTACCGATTGGCAGATTATATTTGAAAAATTTATTGTAAATAATTTGTAATCACGTTTCTACGTAACGAGACTGGTTCTAATTATAAAGACTAACTTTTCTAAATGGAATTCATGGTAAGAAATAAATATTACTCGTCAATGACTAATAAAAAGTCCATTTATATAAAATTATTGAAAAATTGTGTATTTTGGCAGAACAAAAATACTCTAATTTAAGATCAATATATATTTAAAGTGATCTTGCATTAGAGATTTTCTCAAATGGGCATGACTGTATGAGCGTTGAGTAGTGCGATAGTCATTTATATGTCAGAAAATTAATAAAAACAAAAAAAATAATGCCGAAAACGTAAGAATTCAAGTAGAGCAGCCGAAGCAACATGAAAATGAAAAAAAGTGTATACATAGAGATTATGAATATACGGTATATTTACAGGTATATTATATTTGTTGCCATGAAATATTTCGTTTCAATTCGTGTAGTTTTGAAAAATGAAAAAAAAAAATAATGAATCGATTCAATTATCATTGAAAGATTGGATTAATGGCGTCATAATTGTTACAATTCTATATTATGTCCTCTTATGCACGTGTGGTTTTTTCTAAAAAACATTTAAATGATTGGAAAGAAGGAGCGGCATACATTTCGTTTAGGACAATGAAAAAAGAATACCAATTAAATTCGTAGGGCATCTATTGTACATTAATTATTGATACCTTTACTTAATATACTTATGATACAATAATAAATTATATAAAAGTCAATTTCATAGGCGTGTCCATAATGTGATTTTTTTAAAATATTTATTTCCTGTTTTAACTGTATTATCTTTTTTTTCAATTACTATTTTATACTTTATTATAAAACTTTCCGTTCTCCGTATTTGATTGTAAGATTTAATTGTAAAATCCTTAAAAATATTGTTCTTTATTTTTTATATAATTTTTATGACTCTACAACTAATCAAAATTTTTGCTTATCTGAATTTGGTTTTTTACATTTATGAAAAATTCTATTAAAGTTTGAATATAAGTATTTAATACATCTTAATTTTGTCCTTGAAAATTTATAATTGCTGTATTAGAAATATTTTCAAATATAAATACAAAAAATAAAATAGTATTAATATCTGTGGAATAAAATTTTTCAATAATATGACGTTACTTTAAATAGGCATTTTGTAAATAGATTCTCTAAATATTATTTGTTTTCATTCTTATTTTATCACTAATTTATATTGTATTTTTATTTTATTTAAAGTTATAATCCATTTTCTTTCTTCTTATTCAAATTTTGTTTGTCGTTTGTATTTCGTATCTTTTATCGCACTCCTGGAATTGTTGGTCGACTGGATGACAATGCCACGTGTGAGTAAATCCCAAAGAAACAAAACCTTTTATTCGCTGTGAACTTTTTTTATGTCTTCTTAAGTGTTTACTTTTTTATCAAGATTCGACTAAAATTTATCGTGTAGTTCGTAATAATTATGTGGTATAATATCTAGTTGCATTTTTGAACATAAATTACACATTTATTGAGTTTTAATTTACGTTATTTTTTTTTTGCTTTTCAGACCCAAGTATTTAGGTTTTTAATATAATACATAAAGGTATATATAATCAAATTTAACAACCGTTAAAAGAATATAAGACGTCAATACACATTTTTTTTATTCACAAAATTACAAATATTTTTATCTATATATATATATAATTATTTAGTTAGTATGCAGTAATAAATTATTTTCTTGAAATTAAACGTATTAACTATTGATTTCATATTATTTACAGAGCTAAGCTAAAAAATAATAAAAATTTACATTATGTTAATTAGTATTATCGAAAATTTTATTTTATCTTTTTTTATTAATATTGAATTATAACATACTAAATTTATGTTTAGGCTTAGCAATTATTATTTGATTTATTTAGTAGATTGCTCGTTTAAACCTAGATTTTCGGCATGAATTTAGTTGATAGTAATTTATTCATTGATGCTATATAGTTTACTGTATATATATATATATATATATATATATTACTCGTGTAATAAAATTCAAGAATTCCTTAACATAAAAATGGCTTAAATATAGGTATCAAAGAATTTAACATATACTTAAAATATCGTTTATTAATATTATTCTATAGCTTCGATTAAATTTGTATTTCATACTAAAGATACTGAAGATTCGTATAAATCGTGAATAGATTGAATCCATGATCTGATGAATATTAAGCGGGCGTTCATTAATATTCATTATGAAAATTATTATTTTAGAATTTGATAAGTATTCAAGAGCATGATTATTTGTGTATGGCTTATTCATATTCATTATGCGCCCTTTTATTTAAAATTATTTATAAAGTCATATTTTTATTTATTATTTATTGATATATCTATATATGTACATTATCCTCTATTTTTAGAAGATATTATTGCTAAATATTTATATTTTGCTAGTTTACTTAAAAATTTACATTTTTTTTTTAATGGGCTAAAATTATCCCGATCTAAAAATGATGATCGAAGTAAACTTTATTATATAAACATTTTAATATATTGAGTATATACATAATATTTATTAATAGTTTTAGTATGAAATAAAATATAAATACAGATTTAGATTTATTTCTTAAATATATATATATATATATTATTATCTGAACCGACAATCATTGAAAATTTATTAGTTTCCAGCTAATTAATTGAATGAATAAAATGCATAATATAAATGGTCTATAAATCGATTAAATAGTTTGTGAAATGAGATTTGGATACTTAAAGCCCCATCACTAGCCAAATTACAGCCTAATAAAAAATTTTTTTAAATACTTAAAACTGATTTTATAACGATATAAATATTACAGAAGATGCTGAAAGTGAGAAGCCTCATATTACTCAGAATCAGTCAGTCTACAAGGTTGAGAACAACAATTCATTGTACGCCCGTAGCACGCAGGAGAGACGAATGCCAAACGGCGGCTATCCTCAGGATATTGGCGAACTGAGCTCAGGAAAAATGTTGAGAAACGGTGACGTGGTGGAAGAAGTTGATGGAAGGAAAACGAAGAGGTGGCCCACGGACAAGGCTTACTTCATAGCCAAGGAGCTTCTCATGACAGAGAGGACGTACAAAAAGGACTTGGATGTTATTAACATTGTACGTAAACTGTTTTTGAATATGTAAATAAATCAATAATTTATCAATATGCACAAATGCGATAAAGTTTTAGTAAAATAATTTCATAAATAAAATTATTATGTTTTAAAACGGCATTAGTAAATATATGATTATTACAAGGATGCATTGTTAATTGTCACACTAAATTATAGAATGTTAATCGAGAACGTATATCTTCTATATTATTTTAAATAATTTATTTTTATATTAATATTCAGTCAACGAATTTACTAGATTTACAAATTATATTTAGTTTGGAAACTAAACGTCATTTTAAAAAGCAGAGAGTTAAATATCTATGAATGTATTAAATTATATATTAAACAATATATAAAAATAGACCATTTCTTATATGCTAAAAAAATAATTTACAAGTTAAGAAATAATTTGTATTTTAAAAATATTTATTATACTTTTATACTTTCAAATATTTTAAAATAAATTTATACTTTACAAAATTGTATTAAAGCTTTTAACTATTCTTAAACATTAGTATCAGTAATAAAAATTGCCTGAATATTAATAACAAGTATCAAAGAGAAGTATTTTTAATAATAAACTACAAGTGAATACTGTGAATGTTTCAAAATTATATCTTATGTATTAAATGAAAGATGAATTTAAAAATTTTTTGTATTTAATTGTAATTTTACTATTTTTATATGATCGAATATATCTTTTAATAGACATATAACTGCTTTATTATTATTTTTAACTAAGAAATTTTACTTATTTATAATGCGTCCCTTAATTTCATCGGAGTCACTGAAGTTAAAAAGTTTAGTATATATATTCAGAGCATCTATTGACTTTGAAAAAATTGGCAGTCATTATCTCTGTAAATCATGATCATTACGTTATTATTATTATTATTATTATTATTATATATATATATATATATATATATATGTTATATATTATACTAAAAGAATTATGCTTTAATCCGTAATATGCAAATTGAAATGTTTTTAATTAGTTATTATTTCCTTTGATTGCCATTAGATTAATCACATTTTTAAATATAAGATTCTAGTATTTTATTTGAAACCCACTTTAGATACTTTCATTAAAAACAAATAGAAAATATAATTTCAATGTAAATAACAGTTAATTATTATTAATGAGATATATCAATTCTGCGAAAGTCCAATCTAATCTACGTGTTTTAGTGGTTCAGAGAGGAGTTATCAAAGGAGTCGGAGAGCGAGGGTGATTCACTCGTTACTCTCATAGAGTTGCTCGCAGATGCCCACGGACCGTGCCTCCAGGAAATGGAGGTCAGGTTAGCGCGCTGGGAAAGTAACGCGCGCCATAACATCGGCGACTACCTTTACAATGCTTTGCTCAATGTCCTTCCGCTTTACGACCAGTACCTCGAGAACCTGATGCCGGTGCTAGAGAAGTTCGAGTATTCCATGCGTACCTCAAAACATTTTGACCAACTCTGCAGAGACTTCGAGCTGCAGAAGCATTGCTATCTGCCTCTGACAAGTTTTTTATTGAAACCCTTGCAACGTCTACTTCATTACAACAGTATTATCGATAGTAAGAATTGTATCGAATTAATAAAATCGTTACAACTATTTATTTTTGTTATTATTAAATATAAAGTTTTATTTTTAATTTGTATGCATGTACATATAATTTTTATTTATTTTTATACAATTTCCTTAAATCTAAGTTTTTAAAACCAAAATTATTTCTAATTTTTTTCAGATTCTTTATTTCTACTAATGTCATTAAATTTTATCAAATAAGAATCAATTGTATGTAAAAACTATTTATTTATACTTTCGATTTTATTAAAAAAGTTCAGTATTAAAAAGATAATCTCCACGACAATTTATTTTAATTGCACATTTAAAATTACTTAAATTTTATTTTTAATTTTTCTTTATTGTCAATGTGACGATTTCAAATATTTCACATAGCGGCGTTTACATTTCATTAGTTTATTACAATTACATTAATAAAATTTACAAAAATGTAAACAACGATTTTTCTTTTCGTAGGTTTATTAGATCATTATCCAAAGGATCACACAGACTTCGAAGACTGTTTGGCTGCGAGAGATAGATTAGGTGAAACATTGCTGGAAGGATTGACAGTTCTTAACCAAGCAGTAATTAGCTTTATTAATTATTTTCTATGATATCTTAATTAAATTTTTCATTGTTTTATAACTTTTATAAATCTTTAATAGGAAAATTTAGTCCAATTGTGCGAATTACAACGAGATATCAGTGGGTTTGATAACTTAGTACAAGAAGGTCGGAGGTTTATAAGACAAGGTTGCCTACAAAAATATAGTCGTAAAGGCTTCCAGCAAAGAATGTTTTTCTTAGTACGTATGCAGCGATAAATTTCGGTTTATTAAATTCTCAAAATTGAATCTAAATCATTAAATATTCGTTCTAGTTTTCCGACGTATTACTTTATACATTCCGATCTCAGCAACCTACACAATGCTTCAGGGTCCATGGACAATTGCCTTTAAAAAATATGAAAGTCCAAGAGAATGACAATAAAACTGGTACAGATTATGCTTTCATCATTCATGGCATTGGCAATCAGTAAGTATATTTATATATTATTAAAAAAAATTAAATTAATAATTGATACAAAATGTACAATATTATTTAAATCGAAATAATTAAAAAATATATACGTATAATAATATAAAATAAAATGTCTATAAAATGAATAATATTATTCTGTAATAAATATGAATTTATTATTTAATAAAAATATTGTTTTAAATGTTGTAAAGTTTTTATATTAATACATAAATTATTTTTAAGATCTTTGACGGTTGCTGCCTGCAGTGAAGAGGAAAAAGAAAGATGGTTAGAGGATCTCAATACGACAATTGCTCAAATTGATTCGGTTGAAGGGAAAATGCCATATTTAAATTTAAAAACTTGCAGTACGTTTTCACACATTTTACATTGCAGTTTTTATAATTAAAGAAATAGTAGTCTCGTGCTAACATTTAGTGAAACCCAATTTATTGTTAATTCTGATTAGTATATATAATGAAAAGTGAATACTTACCATATCATATTATATCTAAAAAACAAAACAAAAAATTAATTATTAATCTAATTATGTTTCTTTTCTCATCCTTGGATATTATATCCAATAAATACATAAAATAATCATGATTTTATATTTATTGAGTATAAAACAAAGTTAAATAATCCTGTGCGATATAAAAAGAAGTCATTGCAAATCAAATATATAAATTATAAAAAGAAGATGTGTAACTAATTTAAAATCATATTATAATGATTATATATTTTAAATTTTAACGATTCATTTACCGAACCCTATGCACAAGTTATATTAAATTATTATTTTTTAATTACATAACTTGTAAAGAAGTTTGAATAAATGTAATTACATTTTAGTCTTGGGATCTGTGGATGAAGTTGGAGATGGTGTTGGATGTGAAAGTGATCGTACTAGTTGCGGTGGAGCAAAAACATCTCAACGACGCAACACGACAGTTCATGGATGTTGGCATCGAAATACGAGTATTAGCTATAGTGATCAACTACGAGCATTTCAAGTAATTCAGCAATTATTTAAAAAATAATCTTTACAATATCCTTTTCTTATAATAAATATTAAGATTAAATACATTAAAAAAAGGTTTATATATATATATATATGTATATATATATATATATATATATATATATATATATATATATATATATATATATATATAACCACAATAATAACAAAGTTCATAATATATTAATTTCATATAGATAATATTTAAAGAATTTTAAAAAGTCTATTATATAATAGTATATTTTTCATTTAATTCAATTTTATTTATATGAAGAATAATACACTTATTAATATTTAGAACTGCTATGAATATGAATTGAATGAAAATAAAAAAATTATTATTAAAAAATAAAAAATCTCAATAGTGGATTTTAAAATTCACTAGGCTTTACATACACTTATATAAAATACACTTATACAGAATACACTTATATAAAATTATAACCTTTTGTATTGTTATTTAGAATCAGCTCAGTGGTTTTCTATTGCGCAAATTCAAAAACAGTAACGGATGGCAAAAACTATGGGTTGTATTCACCAACTTCTACCTATTTTTCTATAAATCGCATCAAGACAGCTTCCCTCTTGCAAGTTTACCTCTTTTGGGTTATATGGTGTCACAGCCATCGGATAAAGACGGTATCAACAAAGACTTCGTTTTTAAATTGCAGTTCAAGAATCATGTATATTTCTTCAGAGCGGAGAGTGATTATACGTTTGGAAGGTGCGTTATATTTAATTAACAAAACGAATTTAAATTTAAAGCATGTAACTGAATTTATTCGTAACGAATGATTTTTACAATAAGATTCATTAATTTGTTAAACAAACAAACAATCTTATACAAAGCTTAAGATATTTAAACTTTTTAAAGTTTAAAGATTTTATTTAAGAATTTTATATTAAATACTATATGCGACATTCAAGGAAAAATATTTTTAATTTTCAACAGTTTTCTTTGTACTGGATACTTTAATTTAACAATATTAATTTAAACTTATCATTGCAGATGGATGGAAGTCATTAAAAGTGCTACGCAACAAAGTCATACAACAACAAGCTACAGTTTTAAAGAGGAATATTAATTAATGTATGTGAGTGAAAAAAAAAAATTACAAATGTATGGTAACAGCTATTGCTTTACTTGGATTTTTCTAAATATGTGAGATTGTAGAGAAACTGTAATTAAGATATATGTTTAATTTATCATATTCTCAAATTTATTTTTTTAAAAATTTTTCCACGTATAAATTGAGAATTATTATCTTACATTAAAACTATCGATGAATAATATATAATTAGAAAAACTTTCAAAGTTTTTTCCAAATGTAAAATTTCTTGATAATGTAAACGAGCAGAAAAAATATTTGTCACGGCCTTATAAATCAATTTATTATAGAAAAATGAACACGGAATGCTATCCGCATTGTTATTCTTCAAAATTCTAAAAAAATGTTTTCATAATTTATTATTACATAAATATTTCAACAACTTAGAGATTATATATAATATTTTGTTATTCTACTAAAAAATTGTTTCTAATATTTTAAGAAATTTTTTCTAAATATTTTAATATCTAGCATTTAAAAAAAAAGTTCTATATTCTTTTTGATATTGTAAGAATTTGAATGTTGGAAGAATTACTAGAACTTGTGAGTCATAAACAAAATTAAATATTCAATCTTTTTGAATTTATTGTACAAATATTTAAAGATTAAAAATTTATCAATATATAACTTTTATATTGTTTTTAAAGTTTAAGTCAATCATTTTTATAAAAATATAAAATTTAATATACCATTCAGATTTATTATAGTTTTAATTAATAATATATAATCATATTATCATGAAATAATTTTTGAAAACTATATCTCTATTCTTATATCATATTGTAAGAAGCATCTTTTATTGAAAAGTCTACGCAATAAAAACATTATGTAGAACTTAATCCCAAAGGTATCAAAATATCGCTGGAAACTTTGAAAGTGCACATTTTTACAAAGAGTAATGTAATAATTATCTATTTGTATTCGTAATTACGATTAAGATTTGTTTGATTATGTGGTTGCATTTAACGAATTTTCCACTCGTATAATGAAAAAGTAATTGTATATAAATCGAATCTCTTTTAGATAATTTTAGATTGTCTAAGACTTAGATTAAGCAATTTCTAATTGTTAAATAAAACTCGATAACGTAATAGGAGTATCGTTATAAAAACCATCATTGATGATTTATTTTTGTTGTTTTTTTTTCAATCTACGTAATTTAGTGCGCCCTTTACTCAGTATTAAGCTAAAGCATGTCGATTTAGTAACATCAGAAACATTAGTTTTAAATGTGTTTCAAATTGAATATTGAATATTTAAAAATTTACATGCAAAAATATTCAATTTTAAGTAATTTTGTTTGTAATGAATCGTATGTTAATGTTAGAAAAAAATATGATAACGATGTGGTGCTGATTTAATTGTACATTTTTGCATGTGATAATCGTTTATTTTGAAGTTTTTTGAAGAATTTTTACAATTTTACACACTTCAAAACCTTTCCAATGGTTTTCTACGTATCTATTCTTGATTCAAAAACAATCAATATTTAAGACTGTAGACAATTAATGTTTAAGTATCCGAAACTACAATTAATTCTTAAAAAATAGGAATCATTTTAAGTAAATTTTAAAAAGTACAATCTATTTACATGAATTCAAATTGAAATGTATTATATTATGACAACATTTTTTGAGAATGTTACATGCAGTGAATAAATTTAAGAGAATTAAAAGATTTTCTATGTTTTTATAAGTTTTATTATGAAGATTTATGAGTTTATACGAATTGTGATGTTTTTTCAACATATCAAAAATTTTGCAAAGAAAAATATTGTATAAAATTTATAAGATGTATGAAGAATAAATTCTTACCTTAATTCCAAATTAAACAATTTTTTAATTAATCATTATATTTTAATTAAATTAATACTTAATTAATCTTATCAATATTGTATCATATATATATATATATATATTTACATCTCACTTACTCAAGAAGTGATAGCCTTTTAAAATATTCATTTATTTATTAATTCTAAATTTTACTAATGTTCTTTTTGACTACAAAGTTTTAAAATAGTAAAATGTAGTTCAAATATTCTTTAAATTCTCAACTAAAAATTATATGAAATTTGAAATTATGATTAGACTATTCTTTGTCTTAAAAATAATTTCTCTAGCATATGGATAATAATTTTATAACCCTCAAATTCTTTTCTGCTATAATAAATATAAAATCTATTCATCTACAAATATTAAATAGTTATTTTATAGTAAATCATTGCACTGTGCATGATTTAGTATACTTATTAACAAAACCAGAATGATCGATATTTTATTCTCAATATAAAGATATACATGAACTTATTGTGATTAAATTTTAATAATGATGAACTCATTATTCATAATTTAAAAATGTATGTTTTAAAATACTTAGTCTTTTTTGGAGAACTAAAATATATGTGAACATTTTTTTCAATAATTTTGAATGCTATTATTTTATATTTAAGTTAATACTTGGTTCGAAAATATATATTTTTAAACAAATATTTAAATATATATTAAACTAAAACATAAAAAATTGACATTTTAAAATGTCTAACATTGATTTTGAAAATAATTTTTTTTAAAATTTTAATTTTCTGTAATTTTATTAAAAATATTGATCAAATATTTTTTAAAATTATGGTAGAATATTGAATATATGGGTATTATTAAAAATTTGTACAACAATTTTATAAACAATAATATATTTTTATTCTTTACACTTTTATTATCTTCGATTTTATCATTTAAAATATTGATTATATATATTGAAAATATATTATATTAATGCGTTATAAACACTATATTTATTACTTTGTTTTATTTTGGTTGAATAGATAATAATTTCGATATAAGTTGAATTTAAATTCTATAAATTTTTTATTGTGTAACTTTAAATTTTAAAAGCATAAACATAAACAATTTTTATAATATTAATATTATAAAAAGAATTAAAAACGTTAATATATAAAGTGAGTTTGAAGTACTAACTGTTTTTGAACTTTTTGAAAGTTTACAAGTGTCTAATCAGAACTTTGACTATTGTTATATTGATTTCTAATAATAACAATCTAAACGATGTACATAGGCACATGCAATGAAAAAGAAAAAGAAAATGAGACTCACAAGAGATAATCTATGACTTCTCGTGCACTGTAGATATACAACAGTCGTCGTGTATCTTATATGTTAAATAATAGCATCTTATTAAAGCAACTTAATTATTCATCCAAGTGCCATAAATATTTCCAGTCCTGACTACTTCTGTGAGAAAATGTTTAATTTAAAAATATGACGAACCTCGCGTGCATGTATATACGCTATGACTTCACAAAGTTACCGACATACTATCAAGATGATTCCATGCGAAGAGCAATTAGATGGAGATGCAAAAACTCGATCGAATCCAACGTCGCAGGACATCGTTAGCGGTGACCTCGAATCGTTTCCTCTGAAGATTTATCTATATAGAAGTTGGATCACACTGAATATTTTGGAGTTTGGAAAAACTCCAAAAAATATATTATACAATCATTATAACCAATGAGTTTTGAAGAATATGACAGAAAGTTAAGTATTTAATGAAAATGAATGTCCAAGATAATAAATATATTTTGCTAAACAGATAAAGTTAGAATAATTTTTAATTATTAATCTATTTTAATAATAATAGAAATATGAAATACGTTATATATATATATACAGATATTTTTTATTGAGTTTTTTAAATGGCATTCCAACATTGTTCATGGATTTAATATTTTAATTATTATTTTTTAATAAATATTTCATTATATAAATATCTGGTTGACTTGGTAATTAATTTATAAAAATTTTACAAATTTAGAAAAAAATATATTCTCATTAATAAAATAAATATATTATTTTGGTGCATTAAGAAAATTAATTATTGATAATAAGATTACACATAATATTCGCTTAAAACGAAGAACTTGACTTAACCATTTCCAGAAATAATATTACAGCTATTGATTATTTTTACGTGAATAGTTTTGCAAATTATTCTAAGATTTGATGTAAAGGTGATTTATTTTCTTCAACCAGAATATTTATCTGCTTACTTCTAAGAACATTAGAATAATTATAAAATTTCTATATGGAAAAATACAATAAAACTTTTCATTATACTAGTTAACTGTTAACTGCAAAGAAAAATTATAATTATAAAACATTTAACAAAGTAAAAATTACTGATATATATTTGTCAAAATATGATTGATTCAAAATAAGTAATAAATTTTTTAATTTTCTTATTAAACAATGCATTTCATAATTTGAAACTATGCATAAAAACTAATTAAACGTTTTTTAATTGTTATATACAATATTCGAGTAATGTATTATTTAATTTATTGAGTAGAAATGTCTACATATGCTACATAAAGTGTTTGTTTTATTTAATGAACTAAGTAGTTTTTCTATATTTTAAAATGGATATTTTAATTTGTGATATATATTATTTTAAATGAAATTATTAAAAGTACCTAGTTATCATGTACATATACATTCTTACATAATATTTTTGCTGAATCGTCAGTGTCATCCAATAATAAAAAATATGTTTATTAAAAATGTATTTTTAAAAATATCAAATAAATAGTATTAGGTTTACGTTATTCTTTAGTTAAAAGAGACTGTAACATTGGCTCGAAAATTTTATAGAAATATGTTTTTGGGCTATAGTATTAGTTATAAAAGAAAAATAATTAATTTTAGAACAGAAAATCACAATTAAGATTCATACACTCATCAATTTAAAAATATTAATTGTAATATTAAAAAATTAATGATACTATATTAATATAGAGAAGTTCTCTAATGCACCAATTTCTTTACTCACAAAATTTTTAATTTAAACGTGGTAACATCAGGTTAACAAGTAAACTTTAAGGTTCAAATAATCATAAATCAAGATGTTTGTATAAAAACAGGTTTAATAGCTGAATGATAAAAGCTGGTCGGTTTAGCTACCAAAACATAGGTTTTTCCATTTAAGATTTTTATTTATACTTTGATGAAATTATTTTAAATCATCAGAATCTCATGCAATATAATATTCTACAATTATGCAGAATTTATTAATATATAAAAATAAAACTGTAATTGTTTACTAATTCGATAATAACACAGAACATATTGACAGTGCATATAAGTTTAAATAATTCATAAACAGCTATTTAATAAATATCATAATAAAATGATCGAATTCCAATTCAAATAAAAGAGATAAAACTTTTATATTATATTATAATAATTGAACAATAATTAAAAATAAATTAAGCTGACTCTTAATTTATTTTCAGTAGAAATTAAAAGTCGCTGCACAGATACATGATAATTGAGGTACGCAGGTCTAGGCGAATTTCAAAACCTTTGGGGATTTCCCCAAAGATCGCCGACCGCAATCATGACTCCGTTGATCGCACTCTTACACACACATACGTTCTTACGCTCTTTTCTCAACGTAACTATATAGAATGTTGATTTAATCTCGAATCCATAAATGAACCTTGTAATATATATTATCCAGCGGCTCCTATTGTCTGGTTATACAAAAGCATCTGATGAATTCTCTTCCATTGAGTTCGAGTTTCGTGCCATTTTTTAAAATATTTTCTTATTTTTTGCTTAATTAAATTACAGTAAAAATATTTTTTCCTATCATTTGAGAATTATTAGCCATTAATAATTGAAAATTCATTCAATGCTTTAATTAAATCTGTATATTTTAATATTAAATGAATATCTTGCAGAATCTAGATTAGAAGAATTTCAAACATTTATTACATCTTATAAGACAAAAGTAGATCATATTTTTACAACATGCAAATCCAATTTGAACGGAGTATGATTTGCATAAATGTAAAACGTAACGTATCAATTTTTTTTAAAGCATGTAAATATTTTATTTTACTTATTTGTTTATTAATGGCATTAAATATTTTTTTAATAGTATTTTCGATATAATTCAATATCAGTCTTTACTCTAGTAAATATTGATAACAAAAATAAACATTGATAACAAAAATTATTATTATATAAGTAAAAATATAATTATGAATACAATAATTGTTAAAATTACTATACAAATTTTATTTAAGATTTTATAAATCAACGCACGTGAATAGTAGTTATTATGTATATGCATGTACATTCATAATGGTGGAGTATTCGTGTGAAAATAATTACGCATTCGTTTATGCGCATATTTAATTTTTTTGATAATTGTAGACTCATTTAATATGATATTAATTCACTGTCAAAGAAGATTGTTTTACTTATCGCATGTTTTCCTTTTGAAATTGCGTTAAATTAAAAAAAAATGAATGACAATATAATTAGAATAATATTGATATAATATTTAATTATCCCGGTTATTCAATACAATACAAATATTTAAATAATCATACCATGAATATCTAAATTTTTTTTTCTTTTCTTAATTTTTAACCGAATTAAAAGACCATTAGTAATATACAAGTAGAATTTGTAGTGTAAGTATTGCCAAGAATACAGTAATAATGTTTTCTTATACAATCGAAATTACTACAATTAAAACTGTTTTTGTCTAAGTGTTACGCATTAAAATTGCAAAAAAATATCTATAGTTAACACAGAAAATATAATTTATAGTTAATCCGCAGATATACTTGAAAACAATTTTTAAAAATCTATATAATTATTATGAATTGAAGTATTTTTAATTTTTTTTTTTTTTTTTTTATACATTAACATTAATTATAGTAAATTTATACTTAAAAAAACGATGGCTCTTATATTAAATTTATTTAATTTTAATTTACATGAGATATCAATATCGCAAGTCTAAATTATAGTTTTTAAACTGATCTGAAGCATATGATGAATGAATGTTGAAATATATTCAAATTTAAAACATTGTAAAGAAAGATTTATTATTACTGAATTTTATTATGATGTAAATATATGCTTAATTAACAATACTTATTAAATTTACAATTGGTAAGACTATATTAATGTCAGCAAACAAATTATCGATGTTCTGTTTATAGATGAATATTTTAATGTGAATATGAAAAATATATATATATATATATATTTACATTTCATCAATTTTGATTGATTTAATTGAATTGAATAAAAAATTTATTCAAATCTCTCTTCTCTTATTACAATTTTATTTGCACAAAACTGAAATCAAAAGTTGTAAATAAATATAATTTGTATGAAATTTAAATATCAATACAAAATTTTTGTTTTCAAACTTGTATTTTCAGAAGAAAAATTTAACAAATTTATACACTAAAATTATTCCAATTTGTGAAAATAATTTACAAAATGTAGGTTACAATTGATTGTATTTTCAAAAATATAATTTTTTTTTCATTTTTATAAAAATAATATCGTTATATTTATCGCTATCAATAATATAATATTTCAAATACTCAATGTTCATTTTTAATGCTTAAAAGTTATATATATATATACTATACCCGATGCCTTGACCGTTTTGTCCTTTCATTTATTTCACATTACGCTACTCGATTTCTGGATGATTAAATCAAGACTTAAAAACTAATGGATATACGCTGGATTTCCCCATACTAATAAACCTTTCAAATTAATTTTAAAAATTTTAAGCGTACTTTAGGACAGCTTCTTTTCAAATTAATAGATGAGATGTCGGAAACAAAAAACTTAATACTCATGATAATCAACAAAGCATTCTTTTTGTGTACCATTACTGATAATTTATGTTTGCATGCTTAGATTATGAAAATGTATTTCACAAATAAATAATTGATAAATTAGTAATAACATTTTATCGACAAATGCATTAAAAATAAAGAGAAAAAGAAACATATATTATAACGCGAGAATCATTACATTTTGTATTATATTAACGAAAATGATATCATATTTAAATAGCAATGATTAAATTATAAATTATTTAATACGATTGAATCCGTTTAAATGCTACTTTTGGGCATAACTTATATAAAACTAAAACCTTACAAATAGCTTATAATTATTTGAGAGTAATTAGAAAAAAGCATGTTACTATTAATTATATAATTTTAATGTTATAATTTCTTTCGAAAGTTACTTCGAAAGTTGACGAATTTTTTGAATTTTATGAATTTTTTGAATTTTATGAATTTTACGAATTTTATGAATTTTTAATGTGATATATATGAATTTCATGTTAGTTAAGTCTTATAATTTCATAAGACTTATAAATTCATAAAATGCATACTTTTTGGAAAATATAGTACTATTATATATAAAATTAACATCAGATACTAATAAATGAATTTTCAAATGTAATTTGAAATTTTTTACATTTTTCTAATGAAAGAAGCGGATAAAAATGAATTCATTTAAAAATTTTCGTTATGATTATAAATTCTGAATGTGCAATGCTTCTTTTAATTAATCTTATTATTTTTAAAATATACAATTCTTGATAATCTTGTGACGATAATTCCAACTATAGTTAAAGTTTGTTCAATATCTAATTTATGTATTCGTATTTCTAAAGATTGGAAAATTTTCTTAATAATGTTAATATTATAATATTTCCATAATTTATTTTATCGATTAGAATACTGTAATAATAATAATAGCCATAGCTTTATTTTGAAATGAAAAAATAAAAAAAGTGAATCTAAAAAAAATATGAAAAATGACATTATTGAATATAAATATAATATAATATTATAAAAATGACTATATCGTTATTACATTTTTTTTCTACAAAGAAAAATGAGTGATTAGCTTTAATAGAGGTAAGGTATAATTAAACAAAAAATTCTTTTAAATATAAAATGTATAAAAAATTGTAAATTATATACTCTATTAATAATAAGTAAGTAATTATATTAAATCTGAGTATATGTTTTAATTGAACACAAATTTGATTATTTGTTACTTGTCGTACGAAATCGATGAAGTCAATATGAAACAAAAATTTTAGAAAGAGGTAATTTATTAGTCTAATCGACTAAATTGTTCGTCATATATATTTGTAATTTTTTCATATCGATTATCAACATATTCTTGGATACGTTGATACATTTATGCTTCCGCGTGGCCTTGAAGATTTTGTTGATTCTGAAGACGACCGTTTTCGAGAATGTAGAGAGATAGAGATAGATAGACACAGTGAGAGAGAAGGAGAGAGAGAGAGAGGGGGGGGGCTGAGAGAGACCGAGAGACCGTGAGAGAGACCGAGAGAGAGAGAGAGAGAGAGAGAGAGAGAGAGAGAGAGAGAGAGAATCGAAGATGCCTGTATTGGGAGTAGTTGACTTTAATGTTGATGGCGAGGTGGGAGGCGAAGTATAGGGGGGGGAGAGAGACCGAGGGACCGTGAGAGAGACAGAGAGAGAGAGAGAGAGAGAGAGAGAGAGAGAGAGAGAGAGAGAGAATCGAAGATGCCTGTATTGGGAGTAGTTGACTTTAATGTTGATGGCGAGGTGGGAGGCGAAGTATAAATGTTGGAGACCCACCAATGATGAGCATAGTTGTACAGCCATGGCACGGTTTCGTTTAGTCTTCGGCCTTTTAGCCCTTCTCGCTGTGGCGCAAGGTAATTATTATCAGCGCAAATTCTTAATGATCTATTTACGAGTATTTAATTTTCAAATGTATACTCATAGCTATTTAATATTTGGATTATTTTATGATGTAAAGTTATACGTATTCGTCCAATTGTTGATTTCATATTAAATGTTTGCATTGTGCAAGATGCCAAGTGCAAATTATGTTTCACAGATTCCGAAAGCTCTTACTTATTTAAAATTTATTGATAAATATTTATTGATGATATAGTAATTATTTAACTACATGACGAATTTTTTAAGTTTTAAAGTTTGATTTATGTTTTATGTTTTTAAGTTCAAATGTTTTTATGTTGAAATTAAATAATTGTATGTATGATAATAAATATTATGGTTAATTTTCAATATTTACTTACAATAAATTGTCATTCTATTGCTTATGAAATATTTTTATGTTTAAAATAATTCTAAGTTAATAATTAATACATTGATACCACTGTATACATAAAATAATGGAAATATGAAATTTATTTCTAATTCATTATCTATTATATTGTAAAAAACCATATCACAGAATTTATTCTCTCAATACCTCATTAATAATTATTAGAATTTATTAATATACGCGATTAAAAAAGTAAAGAATTTGAAAAATTCTATATTTAAATTATCGAATAAAGTGTTGTAAAAATGATCGATAATTATCGTTAAAATGTCGAAGTAGTATAGAGAAATGCATAAATAGTAGAATTAAATACTCGTTATTTGTGATATACAAGACAATGATAATTTTATTAAGTACGTGTGGCGTCTTAACAAAAATCTCTCGTTAAAGCTTAGCAATATCGCTAGTTAAGGAATTAATGAGTTCGATGTACACGGAAAAATATAAGCGTTCACTCTCGTTATAGCCTACCACGATCGCAACAGGCGTTACTCCGGCATAGGTTTTAACGGAGGTGCGGCTGCTGCCAGTTCCTCTAGCAGTTCATCCTCAAGCTCCTCGAGCGGTTTTGGAAGCGGCACTCACACCAAAACCGACACTCATGCTACAGGCGGCGCTACAGCAGACGCCAAAGCCACGGCTTTAGGAGGTGGCGGTGGTATCGTCTTTGGTGATGGCGGTTATGGCGGCAGTGGAGTTGGTGGCTATGGAGGGCATCAAGGAGGCGGTGGTCTTGGAGGACATCAAGGAGGAAATGGTTTTGTAGGATATCAAGGAGGCGGTGGGCTTGGAGGACAACAGGGAGGAAGTAGTTTCGTAGGATATGAAGGAGGCGGTGGTCTTGGAGGACATCAAAGCAGTGGTAGTCTTGGAGGACATCAAGGTGGCGGCGGTAAGTTAATTTGTGTATTCTTATAATACTTCTTTTAATCGCGTATTTGTAAAAACTTGAGTTAAAATTTAAATATGATTTTTTAAATTAATTTTATTATATTATGCGATTATTAATCATATGTATACATTTAAAAATTATTTCTTTATTTCTTTATTCAGTTTTGTTATAATTAGATAATGGGGGTCATTATCATAGGAAACATTAGATAATGTACTCATCTATCACATCTTAAGTGTTAAAAAGTTTGGAAATGACAATTCTTTCAGGTTTCGGTAACACTGGCGGTTATAGTACAGTAGGTACTGGATCTGGTGCCAATGCTGTTGCTACAGCTAATGCCAATGCTAATGCTGCTGCCGGTAGTAGTGGGTTTGGGTCAAATTATGGATCAGGTCAGGGCGGAGCTGGCTATGGAGGCCTTGACGGTAGTGGTGTCGGCCATGGTGTAGAAGGCCATAGTACTGGATTCGATAGTGGTCACTCTAACACTGTGGTCCTTGGTAGTGGACACAGTACCGGAGGTGGTTATGGCGGTGGACACAGTACTGGAGGTGGTTATGGCGGTGGACACAGTATTGGAGGTGGTTATGGTGGTGGACATGGAGGAGTTGGAGGTGGATTAGGTGGTGGACACGGCGTTGGAGGTGGATTAGGTGGTGGACACGCTACTGGAGGTGGATTCAGCAGTGGGCACAGTAATGTTGGTGGATTCAGCGGTGGTCACAGTAATGGTGGTGGATTCAGCGGTGGTCACAGTAATGGTGGTGGATTTAGCGGTGGACACAGTAATGGCGGTGGATTCGGCGGTGGACACAGTAATGGCGGTGGATTCAGCGGTGGACACAGTAATGGCGGTGGATTCAGCGGTGGACATGGTGGTGGTCAGTCCCCTGGTTTAATTGTCGGTGGCGCACACCAAGGTCATGGACCCATTATTGGAAAACATGGTATCGCCGGAAGTAATGCTGGGGCATCTGCTAATGCTAATGCCGCTGCTAATGCTGGTGCTGCAGCCAGTGGTTTCGGTGGGTCAGGTGTCGGTGGATATTCTGGTGATCTTGGCGGAGGACATGGAGCTCTTGGGGGTGGCTCTTATGGTGGACAAGGTGGATACAACGGAGTATTTGGTGGTCATGGAGGTGCTCTTGGAGGTGGTTACAATGGAGCGAATACTGGTGCGTCAGCTAACGCAAATGCTGTTGCCACAGCCAGTGCCAGTGCTGGCGCCGGAAGTTTTGGAGGTAAATATTCAAGCATGCATAATTTATGAATTACTTTGATGACAAATTTAATCATTTAACTTTAACATTTTATCGGCTTATATTTATAAAACTTAGGATATTTCTTTCTCTTACTATAAAGTAGAATATAATAAAGCTATTACAGGGTAATATAGTAATTCTAGAGAATATTATACTTATTCGTCACATAATTTAGTTATATTAATATTATAGAATATAAATATTAGAATAGCATGATCAATAATATTGAGGATCATTTACATTGGTATATCCATCTTTAATTATTATTGAATATCCTTTAAAAATCATTAGAGCTTTTTTTTTTAAATAGAAATTATATGCTAAAGTAAAAACGTACTAATGATACAGGTTTTGGAAATGGTGGATATGGAGGAAATGGTGGATATAGCGGCAACGGAGGCTATGGTGGTAGTGGTGGATATGGCGGCGGTTTGGGGGGAAGCGGAGCTACTGCTAATGCTAATGCCAATTCTCATGTAGGAGGTGGAGGCTTTACGTCTGGACTGTAAGTTAATATATATTTTTAATAGTACTGTAAAGTATTCTTATATAATTTCAAAAATATTTTATTCATAAAAATTCGATCGAAAAATCTTAATAAAGAAGTAAATAAATTATCATTTGATGTTCCATAATAATATAATTTAAGGATACGACTATTGCATGAAAATATAGTATTAAAATATTAAATATAAATATATCAACTTTAGAATAATTAAATGGTCACAAAGTATATTTGACATGTTATATTATTAATATTTCATTAAACAATCTACTGCTTATTGTTCACTTTATGACGATAGTTTGAACAAAATGCAATTATATTTAAACTGAAATTTAATAAATTGTCATTTTTATCGGACACTTGATAAATAATGAAAAATTATTGTTGTGCATAAAAGTTTAGTTTAATACGGTAATTGGTTATTAATACAAGGTCAACTTCTACATTAATTTCCATCTCGATGGGCCGTAATATTTTAATTTCTACTGCTCTAGGACATTCTTAATGAATCCAAGAGGAAACTTTATTTATTATCAACCATGATTTTAACGTTAAAGTGCGCAATTAAGCTGACAGAAAGACATGCTTTTGCTATTGTTTATTACATAGTTTGCAAAAAAATTTGTATTACGTGTCAATGTTTATGTGAATTCATTATGCTATGAGTTCAGAAATTTAGTATAATTGTATTAAATAATAATATATTCTTTTTAATATTATCTTTCAAATAAAGAAGTAATCAATTCATTAAAAATATCAACAATTTTCATATTATAGAAAATCGTAGAATTATTTTTTTTACATCCAATGTTATGCTTAAAAAATAAATATTTCATCATTTTGTATTGAGATTTGACATTGCATTATAATATTAAATATTTTTCTATTTTTTACGAATGCTTTAAATAATATTTATTTTCTTATAAAATATATCAAATAATTACTTTAATAAATCATTTTGAAGAACATGCAATAAAAGGCAACAAGAAACTTTCAAATATGAATGCATTAAGCTAGAATAAAAATAATTATATTTTGTGTTTTACGAAAATAGGAAAAGTGCAAAAATATCGAGTGTATTATACAAATATCGAAAAATACCGAGTGTATTATATAAAAATGGAAAAAATCATTATCTATAAAGATAATGCGATGCTTTAAAAGTTAAATTAAAATTTTTAATTTACTCATTTTCGCGAAATCATCATGAAAAAATGTGTTAAGTCTCTTTTAAACGATCTTTTAAACTGATTTTATCCTCATATGGGATATATGTACTTGAATTGATTATGTTTATAAAATAATTATGAAAATAATTATAAAATAATATTTGAAATTTGTAATATAATAATAAGTAAACGATATTATAATTTCAGCTTTTCTTCGCGGATAAATGCTGACGACGAGTCTGAAGTCAAGGAAAAAGGAACCGTTGAAAAAGCTCAGGGTGTATTCAGTAGTAGTAGTGCCAAGATTGACTCGACGGGCAAGGGAACGTATGAAGTTTCAGCTGGAAAAATTCCTGCATAAAGTTCATATACTGCTATTTTCAAAATTGAAAAATAAAAAAAAAATTGTTTAGCCTCGCTAAGTGAGAAAATTATATTTAATGTTGTTTCTCTTTAACACTGTTAATATTTTTTTCTTTCTTACTGCACGTGCTTTCCTTTTTTTGTACAAAAAAGTAAAATAATGTATATATCATTATTATACAAGACCATTCATAAGAAAATATTGATACTGCTCATTTGTAAATTCAAAAATTATGAATGTGTAAACGAAAAATTGAAATTTTCAATTTTGTACTTCGATGTTCATAATATTGCATAAGAGTTATCGACGATTTCCTCGCGAATATTATGAAGCCATGGGAGACAAAGTGTGTAATAATAATTGGCCGTGATAAAGATTTTTGTTTATTGTGCGTCGAATACGTTCGAGAGTGCATCGTGCGAAAAATTGAGAACGAGGCCGTACGTACGGTTCGTTCATATCTTTCTTACTTAATCCAAGTTCTTGACATTTGTAAATTGAATCTCTCACGTTTCGCATTGTGATATTAATAAACGTCGATGACATTGAAAATCTTTTAATATTATTTATACCTAATTTCCTTATCAATGCAAGTATCATTTTACGTAAATCAATTCATAAAAGCATTTAACTTCGTTTAGATAATTATTTGTTCATAACTCATTTACATTATAATTTCTTCTTTCGGAATTGACGTAGCTTTATGAAGATTTATATCTTACCGTTGGAACAATTTTATATGTTTATAATTATAACAATATTGAAAATTAGTAATTATCCTTTCTTTTAAGTGATTCTTTATCCTGTCAAACATTCATTGAGTATTTGTGAATTATTATATTGATTTTTTTTTTAAATATATTACGTCTTACTAGTACGACTCGCCATTAAAATAAAATATACTAACATTATAAAGATATTTGAATTTAAAATTGATTTTTCGATAAAAACACATATTTTCGAATAATTTTTTACATACTATAGAAATATTTGTTATCGCGAACTTTTATTATTTTTACATTTTTATCTTTGAATCTTATAAAGACAAAAATTAATTAATTTGTATTTATGCCTTAAAAGAAAAATTATTTTCTTATTAAAATATATGGAGTATGTATTTATTTATATTTAAAAGTAATGATACAAATAATGATACAATAAGTTACTAATTCAATAAAATTAATTTATATTAAATATGAGTTTTTAAATCGAGTATAATTTAAAAATCCTTATATTTCTTATTCATATGAATTACTCATTCATACCCAATGGATAATCTAGAATTGTATTTTTCCATCGCGTCATCAATAACCGTTTTTATTTTGGCTTAATGTTAATATTTGGTTAAAGATGATTAACAAATTAACAGTAGATATTTATTCCATTGTTTATCTATATTTTTAGTAATGAATCAAGTGAAATACTTTTCAGAAACGAAAACTTTCTAATTTTACAAATTCTTTTCTTTTTAACTCTTTAAATGTTTTAATAATACTATTTATAAATCCAATAAAAGGTAAATAGCTGATTGTCTAATAAATTAAAATATATTCATAATTAATTTATTGAAACTATCGCGTATAAACATGTTTGTATCGTAGCACTTGAGTCCAGTGTAAATTTATTATTTGTTAAAAATACATTCTAATAGCATACACTTACGTAATTAAAACTGCAAATCAACGCATGGTAGATAATATTAAAAACCTAAATAAAAATTCAAGTACGAAACAAACAAAGGTCAAGGATAATTAATTTAAATTTTGCCTATGAGTTATCATATGATTGTGTAACAGCAAATGACGGAACTTTCGATATATTTTATTGATATGTGCGATTTAAAGATATCAAAAGACAATGAAATATACAAAATTATAAGCTTGAAAGCAAGCAGCATGTAATATTAAAATAATTATGGGCATTTTAAAAAAAATTTAGGTAAAATTTTGTGTGTTTTTTATCGTGTGATTGTATTATGTGTTTTCATTAAAAATCTCTGATCTGTATTAAAAAAGTATTTACGTCATACATCAAAAGCAACGTAAATATATATAAATTTCAATGCGATCATTACTTTAAATTTACATTAATTTATTCCATCTAATCGCAGATAAATATTTGTTAGATAAAATGCGTGATTAAAATTATTATTGAAAATTAAATTGGACATTAAATCAATGCATTCTAGTGATATTCGTGCTAATGAAAAGAAAATATTTTATGCTTTATTTACGCAAACTTATAGTATTTTTATATTCATATTATCATACATCAATATTATATGAGTAATATTACTTTTTCGTAAATAATATTTATATTGATTTATTCATTTATATTAATAATACAAATTTTTAAATGATGGCACTCTTTTTGCTTTAATAAAGGACATTTTACATTGTAATAATGTATTTACAATTTAAGTTTTTGTATTAAAAACGGTAATTGTTCATATGATAATATAAATGTTTTTAACACTCCTCCTTCTTTTTTAACAAATAAATTAATTTTACCATTAACATATTTTCATGCCTCCTTTTTATATTATGAAAATATTTTTAGTGGATATATAAAATTTATGAAATGTTTTTACCTATAAATATCTCTACATCTAAATATTATGAGTTCAAATTATTTATTATTAATAAAAGTAATTATTTATTTGTGAATAAACATTTTTTAATAGAATAACGAGCATTAATGTTATTCGTTAAATATAATGAAGTTTGTAAGAAAATCATAACAACCTGCTAAATATATTTTAGTTTTAAATGAAAATTTAAACTATTTCATTATTTTACCAATGATAATAATTTAATTTATAAAATAATCTTATTTTATTGTTTACATTTTATGCATTATAAATAAAATAATTTTATTATACAAGTATCATTTCTTACATATAATTTTAATTTTAGTATTTCATGTCTCTAACAAATAAAATCATGTAATTTTATTATATATCTACGTGTTTGTTATTTGCTTACTGGTACTTACATTTTGTTTCCTCATTAATACATGTCTAGTAAAGAAAAAATCAACGTAATTTAATAATTCATTGAGAATCTCTATCTGTATTCCAAATTGTATTGTAGACAGATAACAATCGAAAATACGAGGTCAAGATGAACATCAAAGGAGCACTGAAGATGTTCAGATGAAGTTTGAAAATTATTTCGCGCGAAATGTTGATGAATAATGTATGAATTTTGCATAGCAAGTGTGTACCTTTGTAAGTGAAATGTGTTATAAAGAGCGTCAAATACTTCGGCACTTTTTTTTTCTTTTGAAATCAGTAAATATTCATGTTCTTTCAATATTCTTTTGAAATGTTGAATAATATGCGTTCATTTATATTTGTGGGTGAATATATAAATGGTCTATATTAACATCTTGGGTTGTCGTTTTTATAATTTCTTTAAATTAAAAATTATAATTTTCCTTTGCTCGGTTTGTACGCATTACGTGCTTACAATGACTAATTAGCTATAAAAGTTATAATTTAAGTACCTGATAATTAATTATTTAAAATTATTAAAATAAAAACGATTCAACATATTATATATCTATTGTTAAGTTGTCATTTAAATACGAGATATTACAGTCTTAGAATATAGTCTAAAAAAATATGGTAAATAAAATTTTACTCGCTACATATTTTATTGATTTATTAAGTTATGCTTTCAAGATTATATTTTACAACGGACATATTATTTTAATTGAAAAACTTTAATGTATATACAATATATCATTTTTTGTCTTTTTTTTGTATTTAGCTATACTTTTGTAAAAAAAAAAAAAAAACAATCGTCTACGTTTTAAGTAATCAATGTTTTATTTTACGGTTTGTAATAGTATTAATTCTAAATTTAAATTGACATTTTAAACATATAATTCAGGAATGAAATTACACAAAACTTACGTATTTCAAATTATCTTTTATTCGTTTATACAAGAGAACAAAATATAATACTGCTTCGTAGTTCGCTCAACTAAAGCCACTTTCGTCTAGTAATATATTGTTCTTTTTCATTGATACAGTTAAAATCATTAATCAGATTTTTATGGATAAAGATGATTGATGTTCACTTTATCCTCCAATGTCTGCACTTAAATCTATTATTCCTCAACGCAGTAGCTTCAACCACGTTCAACTTTAAATTTGGGCGAAAACTTAGTGAAGCTTTGAGGGCAACGATTCGTATATTCACAGACAGAAATATCCAGTGGAACCGGTTATGTCTTAGCAATAATAACCGCGCCTATCCTCAATGGTCGAAAACAATGCTATCGACACCTTTGACAATCGTGTCGACAATATCGAAGTTCTTGGAGTCGTAATCACCTGCACTTCGATACAGCCAAGGTTGTCGTTGACGATGACCATAATTATTCGCGTAAAGACCAGGGTAAGGCAAATCCGGATATTGGGAGCCGGGATAGCGAGAAGCACCGCCAGCACCGGCAGACGCGCTCGAAGCAGCAGATGAAGCTCCATTACCTGTTCCAAGAATAATACAGATATGGATAATGATTGAGCTAGTGAATTATACTTAAATGCCTACGAGAAGTAAATTTTATGATCGTAAATACATAACTCTGGAGCTATAAGTGATGTGTAAGAGAAACAGAGTTTTTTTTAATAAAAATATCCTATGGATTATTTACAATTTTCAATATAAGAAATAATGAAAATTTATTATGTAATTAAAATTGTTACTCTTTTTGGCAAGAGGAAATATTGAAAACAATTAGTTATTGGAATAATTTTAAATATATCTGGGAAATTCAACGAGCACTTATAATTCATTGGAGCAGAGTTTCGATATGTTAGAATTAATATTGACATTATAATTGTAATTATAGATTGAAGTTTTAAAATGACATTTAAACTCATAAATATAAATCACAAGACTACGTAGAAATAATGAATTATCTAATTTTGTTCATATATATTTTATAAATGTTTAAAAAATGTCTCAATGATTGAAAGTGTAAATGAATGATTTTTCTATTAAATTATACTAAATTATGATGTATTTGAAAGGTAATAAATTCTTTATTTGATAATAATAGACTATTAATATTGAAGAATAAAATATTAAAAAGCTATAAAAATGTGTAATGATTAAATTAAATATATAGAAATATAATATTGATGTAAGATATTAACCTATAATATTTTATGATTTATAGAGTTTCCTAAGAAGTATAAAACCTTATAAGTATAAAATGTTGACGCTATAAAAATCATAATATTTTATACGACAATACTTCAATTAAAAATTTTAGTATACAGCAGTTATAAAGGTTAATGCATTTAGCTTCAAGGTTTTTTTTGTAAACATAGTCATTCCGTGACTAAGGCTTATTAGAAGCGAAACATTAATAATTATTTAGATGTTCTGAAGAAGTATCGCGTCTAATCTTAGATGCTTAAAACATAAATGTTATTTATTGAGTAAAATGAAAAGTTGAAATAACATTCTATAATTTTAATTAAAATAATACTTAAAATTTTCTATTCTAATCTCACGTATCTTCGGTCTATTATAATTTATAATATTTTTCATATTGCAATACAATAAGACAATTATAAATTCGGTTCTAACTATAAACTTAAATGGAGCTTTTTTTTTATAATTTATTGTTAGCTAATTTTATAATTAATTAATTTAGTAATTCAACCATGTTTAGATGTAATTAAACATTATTGTTTAAATATTGATCGTAACCATTATGAAATGATGTATATTAAACGATTACATAACTAAGCTTAATTTATGCTTTTATTTCTACCCATCTTTAATACATTTATTTTTTCATCTATTTATTTTTCGCTAGAATCTTCCATTTGAAAATACAGTTGCCGGATTTGCAAAAAGCGCAGTCGTTAACAAATGCACGCGTTAACCGAACCTATTCATTAATCAATCAAGCGCATTATTGAAACAACAAATTAATCATATGCATTTATGGACGATTATAGAGTAAACAATTATCAAACATTATTTTTCATAGAACCCTCGTGATACTTCGACTAGGTGGCACAGCTTCGTTAGCTAAAATTTAGCTCGTAATGATTAAATAATTACGTTTCTCGTCGTTTTCCAACAACAAGCGTAATGAATAAATATAAGAAATAAACAACTCATAATAAAAATTCTATTAGCCTATTCCTACCGTTTGACGATGCGCCGGCAGCAGCAGCCGCGGCTGCGGCACTGGCAATTGGGAGGCCGTTTACAAAGCCTGTTCCTGCAGATGCTGCAGCTGCAGCGGCATTGGCTCCTCCATTACCGTACTGGTTTCCTAGGTTCTGGGAGTTCGATTGTGCATTACTGTGGAAATGACCATTGAGAGACGGGTAGGGATTCACGTTATAAGATGGTCTGTTGTAATACGGGTTGTACCTGCGAAGAAAATATTCATATTGAGAACTACACTCGCTGCTTTATAAACTCATTTCGTTGTTACGTATGACTGATTTCTCGATAGTGAATTATTATGTCTAAATTTTCCATAAATATTTAAATTTCAAACATACAACTGTAATATTTAAATAGACGGGTCTTTAAACGATAAATCTGCTTTTACTTTTAATTTTAAGGTAAAATTAATTTCCTTTTTATTTGTTTATAATTTAAAGTCGTTTCTTTCTACTAATTGATCAAATTTACGTGCATTTTTAATTATGATTCATAGGAACGTTAAAAATTATAACTTTTCAGGATAATTTAGGTTATAAAGAAAGTTATTTAGCCAAATTTGAAGTTAGAAATAATTTGCTAGATCACACCATCATTATATCGAGACCAACAGCTTTATTACGATAGAGCATAAAGTAGTCTTTAGCGTAGTCATTGGAAATTAGTCGAGAAAATAAACGGCAGGTAAATACATTTCTAAAAATATTTTAGCATAATAGCGTTCTTGCTAGGTACTTATCACAAAAAAGCAAATTCTTATTAAAATATGCAAAAATGATCAAAAAGAAACGAAATGAGATAATGTACTATTAATAACAAATCGATCGGAATATTTACGTCTAAGCTGAGTAATTGAAGAATTTAAACTATAATTACGCTGTTAACCGTAAAGTATGAAATGTATCTTTAGTTGCAACTTTTTATTACATAATATAAAAACAGCTCTACTATGTTAAATCAATGGACTTTGTTTATATTAAAGGATATTTCTCTAATCAGAAAACTCTTCTTATTTATTTTTTAATTTATTTATTTATGTTTTATCACAACACTAATCTGAAATAAAATATTATAATTCATAGTAAAAATTTCTATCGTAAAATCAAGGAAAATAAAAAATAATTTCTTATGTTCAAAGAAAGATGCTTGTAAAATAGTAATTTATCAAATGGCCGATTAAACTATTAAAAAAAAAAATTATTAATTTTATACTTGATTAATTCTATATTAAAATATATATTAAGAAATGTCATTAGTGTGCTTACAATGATTCATTGTAATTATACTTGGATATACATGTGAATGCCTAATGAAATTGATATGTATTTATAAATATTAATTTGTAACAATTGTTTTTTTAAATATTAATAGTAAAACTTGAAGATCAGACTTAAAATCAGACTAGTAAAATTCAAATATTAATGTAATTTTCATTTAAATGATTATTTTAACATCAATTTCATTTTCAATAGGGAATCAAAATTTAAATAAATATATATTTACTTCAAATTGTTACTTAATATAATATGCAAAATATAAATATTTGTCCAAAAAATCGAAAAGTCCTTTTTATCCAGTAATTTGTCTGCAAACAAATTGAATATGTGTATTCGAATTTTTTTTTTATTTATATAACACACATAAAGAAAAATAAGAATAACTTTCAAAATTAAGAAAAAATCATACTTTGTTTAATAAGAATAGATATATAGGTAGAGTATTGAAATTATTATTTAATAGTACGTTGATAAATTTTTTTTTTTCAGAATGTATGAAAATATATACAAAAAGAAAAATCAAATAAGAGGATTGATAAATCATAATGCTAAAATTGCTAAGAGTATTAATTTCTCTTAATTATAATAGCTTTAATACCAAGCAAATATTGTATTTATGCCAATATCCTACTTAACACGTAAGATTTTTTTTTAACTTTTACTATTGAGTAATACACATTTATTATATTTTCTTTGTAATATTTAAAACTATTAATGTCCAAGTAGCAATAACCGATACTTATCGATGCCATGAGAAAAAACATTACGAACAACAAATATAATTATGACTGTATTCGATGCTTACCCTTGACTAGGATATCGATTGGGGAAATTCTGAGAACCGTAGCCGTCATAGTCGTCCTCGTACAGCGACAACGGCGACCTGTTGGCATTGGAATTGGCATTGGCATTGGCTTGGGAATTTCCGAAGCCATCGGCCCAGGCGCCGCTTTGCGCCTTCGACTCAACTTCATCGGGGAAATAGAAGCCTCTTCCATGCACTTGGGTCACAATAATATTTATGATTTATTAATTACTTTTGCAGAATTTAGGTGCTCCATTGACTTTAAGCGTAATAAACTTGTCACTATTATTATATATTTACAACAATAAAAATGTTTGAAAAATACCTCAATTGCTTCATGAACATTATTTTTAATTTAAATTATTTTATATTTAATTAGTGTGGATTTATAGTATGCAAATTAATGACTGTAAATTTCATTAAATGAATACTTTGTACTTTGAATGACTTATTGTTCAAGTTTAAGAACTTTGAGGTATTAGAAATTATCTTTTCGTATTACACATATATTCGATTTTTCTAAAATATAACTTTAATGTTTGATACTTGTTATATTGAAAGTATATCATATTCTCAAATAACTGTATACTTAACAACATATTATATTAATAGTATTTAAAGTATCAAAGTTATTATTAAATTTTATTATATTATAATCTGTAATATGTAAATGTGAAATAGACACTTTCTGTACTCGTTGAATCACAGTTAACTCTAGAATAATATATATGCATTATATATCTAATTGTATCGATATTAAATTGTTATTAAATCTATTATATATGGAATTATAACGTTGTTTTACACATAAAAATTTACAGGCACAATTGCTTTTAAATATAAATAAAGTCAATTATCTAGTATAAAAAGATGTTGTTTTTCTATAAACTTATCAATAAGAAAGATAATCTATTGTTACAAATAATAAAATTAATAAATATTTGTAAATTATTCGAGAAGATTTGTTTCACTGAATTTTACTTTAATTGATATTCGGTAGATCGAAATTACACGACACGTTTACACATATTAAAGATTCAAAACAGAAGGAAATTTTCATGTAACATTAATCCAACTAAAAAATTAAATTTGAACATATATTTGAGCTGTTGGGCACATCTTAGATTAGGTTTAAAAAAAAAAAAAAAAAAACGAACAATAAAGAAAGAAAGAAAAATTTACCAATGGCTACACTAAGGAGGCAGCAAAATATCAGCGTCCACTCCATTTTTATTACGTACTAAGTATACGATGCTGCTTGTTAAGCGTTGAACTTACTCTCGCCGCTTTTACTTCAGGTTCGTTTATTTCGTCAATACTAGAAATCGGTGGATCCGTGTTAAAAAAAAAAGCGCAGGTAACCCGTCAACGCAATGACAGGTTTGACGATCGACTGGTCGGTCATCGAAATTCTCCCCCACCTTTATACCTCGACGACGCCCCTTTCTATTAATCTGGGGGCCCG